CTGCAGGGACAAAATGGAGTAAAATGGAGTATTGCATATATTTTGCTTTCCCTGGTGCTTGGAAGATGCAAGTGAATTTCTTTTTACTTCTTCTCGCTTTGCTTTGCTTCAGTTGTAGACTTGGCCGAGGAACTCCCAAACCGCGGTGGTGGGCACAATCTCACCAGCTCAAAGTGCATTTGAGGATGCTGCCTTGGATGGATTCCTTACATGCATGCCTTACACATATAGACTAGATTATCTAGAGACCAATTAAGCAGGCTCCTCTAGCATTTGCCATTCTTCAGAATCCTACTGGAAGAAATCTGGTGTCACCTGGAACTCAATGATTCCCACCAGATTTGATGGATTCCCCATGATTCCCAGCTCAGGTGGTAAAGGATTTCCTCCTCCCATATGCTCACATAGGTCATGTAACGTCGCTGCGTGAAGGACTCACTGGCCACTCTCCGCTTTTGTGAATCGGTGAAGCAAGCAGCGACCTCAGCGACCTGAGACAGCTTGGAATTCGGAAGAATGAATGGATGATGAGGCTCTTTTCAATAATTTCCACGAGCCTTGCTCTGACAAGTCTTGATTCTTGATGCCGGGGTGCGAGTTTAAAGACGGCCGTGTGACAAAGCCTGCCGGCAGGTGCGAACAAAGCCTGCTCTACCAGTCTCGCAGAGAGAGGCTGTAGTCATCGAACTGCAGGACCTACCAGAAATCACAAAGTTTGAATGCCCGTTTCGGCCGTGACGAATAGCGCTGACTGAAACGACCAATCGCTTTGTAGAAACGGCTGAAACGACCGTGATGCTGACGTCTTGTGCAGGAGGAGGTGAGACGCTTGGAGGTGGAACTATTGCGGGCACGTTCTGCCATGGCCTCAGAAAATAATTGTTTTGCGTTTTGCCATGGCATTGTTTGTTTGTAAAAATAATAAAGAGTCTTCTTTGAAGAGCATTTTCTATCATTTTCTGGTGGAGCTTCAATCTAGATCTTTTAGGATCCTTTAGCTATCAAGCTCTGTATGTTTGTACACATCATAGGTTCCTTTGGATTTTCGATTCACTAGACACCAAAGGGTGCAGGGGGCAGGAGTGGTGGAACCAGACTTGATCGGTTTGGCATACCCGCACTGATGAGCCCGTTCGCATTTGAGCAATCTTTGTGCGTTGCACCGGTGTGCTGTAAAGGCCTACTGAGCTTGGCAGTCAGCTTAAGCTTCTTTTGGATGCTTTTGGAATCGTGGGAGTTGGACTTGTTATCCTTTTGGAACTTCCGCCTTTGGACACTTGTGTGTCTTTTAGATTTTCTCAAGTTCTGGACATTCTACGGTCAGACTCCGCTGCACGTGGTACCCGTCCGTTTAGCCTTGTTGGCTACCTGACCTAGGCATCCTCAGGGCTTGGGGCATTTAAGTTGCACGTTTTTAAAGGTTTCCGACATGAAAACAACGGCACCCGACATCTCACCACCAACGCCGCTCGCCTTCGTCACCTCAGGGGCGGGCCATTGTCGAGCGGCAGCTCGGAGAGGCCCAGGTACGGCAGCCCAGAACAGCCAGTCCTTTGGGCTCCCGAATCCTCCGAACTTGTGAAACTTCCACTGAAAGATCTGAAGGTGGTGATTTTGGAAAGCAAAACCTCGCTGGACTCCAGATACTCTAGTGGACCCATAACATTTTGGAACATTGGTAGTAAACATGGTCAAGGTACGAGAAATCGGAGACCTTTCGTCTTTAATTTCTTCTCCAACTCTTCTTGATCTTAGCTGCTGTTCAATGGCTTCGCTGAGAAAAGTGAGCTGAAAGCATATGGCCGTCCCCACTTGAAGAGGCCCCAAGGGCCTTTGTGGCTCTGCGTGTCCAAACACGGATTCGATTGCTAGCTGCTAGGTCTGAGAGATCTTGCCCATTCCTTGTCCCTACGACTTCATGACACCTAAAAGCAATTACGAGGGCCGGTATGGTCTAGTGCTGGGTCCAAGACCCTTTTTGCAGCACTAGGTGGACTGGCAGGCCACTACCCCACCCCATAGTGTGGACCATTAAAACACAACAAAATACTTTTAAACACATCTAGTAGTATAACAGTAAAGCTTGCGAGGTTCAATGCAGTCCTTCCTCAAGCCAAGCGTTATGTGCAAAGTCCACCCAAGAATTAAACATGCAATTTTCCAAGCTTCAGAAACTTCTCTTCTTTGAGAGACTCCTCTTGCAATGGGAATATGCCGATCGCGTGCCCGATACGTGCGAATGGAAGACGTTGCATCTCCGCAGAGCCAAGGAGTGCCACACGTCTTGCGGTGAGTATGTTTTCGATCGCCCTCAGAACTGACAACTCTTTTGTGCTGAGGGATTCAAACGCTCCACCTGAAAGGGGACATGACACCTGGTGTCCCGGTCATGTCCTGGTCAAGGAATCGTAGAATGCGATCAACAGAGTCTTTTTGCTTGACATGACATGGGGTTCCAAAATCAATTGCGAAGGAGATGCCAATAGTGCCAATGGCAGCCCCGGCGAGGCAGACGCGGGAAGCCGGGAGCATCGGAGCATCATTCAACGCAGTTTTTGGTCTACCTTTGGTCAAGGTAGAAGTGGGACAAGTCTTACTGTGTCCATTGAAAGCACTTCGGAGTCTCACCTGCATTTTGCCGGAGCTTCTTAAAGCTTGTGTTCATGGCAGAATTGGTGATGTTTTTTTTTGCAGACTCTGCAGACTTGCAGGGGCAGAGACTTTGTGGGCCAAGCCAGATTCAGGCGGGTGGTGATGTCTTGACATCCTCGGAGTTCTTGAAGTGTTTTGTGACGCCTCGGAGCAGCTGTGTTTGTGTCGCGAAGTGGAGGTACTTCGTGGAAAGCACTTGGACCGAGAGGTGGTCCTTTTTTTTGTGCAGCGAAAGCCATGAGGCAAGTTTAGCCAAACCGGTCAAGTGAGACTCTTTTGGTGCGCTGAATGGATGAAGTGCTAGAGAATATGAGGTCACAAGTACTTGTATATAGCTGGATGCAACTTTTTAGACGAACACACTCTTGTAGCTAGGCAGGTGTTTTGAAGGTTTATTGCTCATACTGGGTCGCATCAACTGGCGTAAAGTCGCATCGTGACGGGCGTGGCCTTGGGGGATCGGATCAACAGCACTTCACCACAAAATTACAGACTTGTTCTGGAGTCGTTACATGTTGTTACTGTATGCGGGTTCCTGGTTCACCTCTCATGAAACCAAGTTCTGCCGCCCAAGAGAAAAACCGGTACTGGTATCTCGAAGGTCTGATGGGTGTCAGCCTTCTACTAATGGAGATGCATGATGAACCAAGAGAACTCAACCATGTGTGGGAGAGTCATTCCGTTGTCTATTTGGCTCACTTCTCTTTTGTTGAGTGCTCGGGCAATGGTCGAAGACACAGTCTTGGACAAGGCATGCGTGAACAAACGCATTAAGCGCCTGTGTGAGAAGGCCAGCCTGTCAGAGCTGGTGCAGACAGAGACATACCTCAGGAATCTTGTTGACAAAGACTCTGGCTCCTGTGGTCACAACAACAAACCCACTGGAAGCAAAGAAACGCTTTGCAAAGGCTGCCGAGGCCTAAGGCCACCTGCTCCACGCCATCAGCCGTGGCACGCCCGCAAGAAACAATTAGTTTTCCTTGAAGGCCTTTTTTGTAAGAATCACAAGAAGCAATTAGTCCTTGGGCTGCCTCTTCCCCACAATGCAATCTGTAGGAAGGGCTTCAAGAACTTATTGTTCACAGTGGCTGGGTCGCGTGCCCATGGGGGCTTCACATCCCAACACCAGCTCCTTGGCACCATGCAACATCATCTTCCAAGCCGCGTGGGCAATGGGATACGACTTTGATCAGTAGTCCATTTTTGTATCTTCCAAAGTGAAAACCATGTACTGTAAATTTGCAGGCGTGGGCTCCAAACAAGTCAACCTCCAAGCACAGGTTGTGAACGCGTGGCCATAGTGACTGAGACAATACGATGTGACTTCTCACGTGCTGATGTGACTTCATGCTTCCACGCGTGGCCATGATTTGATGCTACTTCACACGCACTGATGTGACATAATCCAACCCCTTGTGGCTGGCTTTGTTTTTGATCACTTAGCTCCCTTACTCATGCCCTTGATGGAGACAGACATGATATATAAATTTATGACTTGACGAGTACTTCGCAGTTGTGCTGCCAGGATGCCATTGACCTTACAAGAGAAAACGCAGTGGTGGACCAGCTGGGGGCCCAAAACGAAGCAGAAAGTCGCCCTGTTGGGTGCAAAGGAGGGGAACATGAGTAGATTCTTAATAGACCAATCTTCCGCAGAGTAGGGTCATTTTCCACGCACGCATGGATCCGCACCAATGGTGTAGCAGTGACTGCACAGTTCCTTTTCGGGAACATGTGGACCTTGTTTGCGATGTGGCTTTTCATTGTGAGGTACGAGGATTGGATCAGTTGTCAGGCCCCCAACTTCAATACGAAGTCGGCTTGGAAATCCAAGAAAGGTGCGAAACTCAGGGCCTTCAGGGGCCTTCAGGCCTTGGGGCGTTACAGCGTCCGATCGCTCCGTTCGTAGCGATGCCCTTTGTTACTAGTAGCTTCTTGCTCCTAGTAGTAATGCCAGGAGCCCCTAGTAGCGTCCTTGCTCCTAGTAGAAATGCCTTTGTTCCTAGAAAAGAAATAGAAACATTGAAGGGCCTTGGGCCCCTTTGATAGGGCCCTACGATACCCTGCCAGCGGTTTGCTTCGCTGGCCAGCCGGACCCGAGGCCTCAGTGAAGATCAAGCAAAGGTTTGGGCATCAAAACAGCTGAAGAATGCCGAGGTGTGGTGAAACTGCTGATGTTTATGCCTTTATGCCTAGCCACAAGGTTTGGAACGGACAAATGACATGGATATGTGTAGACAGCCGGCCTTCTTCGCAGGATGATGATGAGGATATGAGCAAAGATGGAGCCATGCTGGTCTTCGTGGTGCCCTGAATAGCAGTGAAAGCAAGACAAAAGCAGCACCCCAATGCCAATGAGCCTTCAGATGACAACGGTGGAAACTTGCCTGTGTGAACATCGAGAGATATTATGTGAATTGTCATAAGTTTCTTTGCGCCGATCTAATTATATAGATGTTCTTGCGCATTATTTTTTGGGGTGCATCCAATCTGTTGCTTTTGTTGCCTGACATTGAGGCAGAAGCGGCAGAAGGCAAAGGAAAATGCTACCTTTTTGTGCCTGACTTGGTGGAGTGCCGAGAAGGTGCTCTGCCAGAGAAAGCTGCTGCTCGTCTCCTTTTGCATTAAGAGACCAGCTCAGCAAGCGGATTGAGGATTGACCAGTTTGATCCGTTACAAAACAGAGTCGCATTTTTGTTCACTATGGGTTTGCCATGAGTTGGAGTTGCCTAAAGATTCTTCCATTCAATTTCATTATCATTTGTGGTCTTGAATGTTCCCCAGGTTGCATATGAATGGGGTGACCTGGATGATGAAGCACGTGAGTTCCGGCGACGTCGCAAAGCACGACAGGACTTCCGAAGCTGACATTCTGTCACTTTTTGATGGTTTCTTTGTTCCTTGTCATCCAAACTGTGCGGATGCAGATAGTGTAGGAGTTGAATGACTAAATTGATTATAGGGCACAAGCTACTAGAAGCAAGGGCATTCCTACTACTGTAGTAACAAAGGGCATTACATGGCATTACTACTAGGAACAAGGACGCTACTAGTAGCTCCTTCTGTGCTAGCAAGCGGTGTCCTAGGAAAATAGTGTGAACATTTAACTTTTTGCGCGAAAAGTCGAAAAGTGAAAAGTTTTTGAATGCCCCTGGCACTCGAAAAGTCGCAAAGTGAGACTTTTTGCGAAAAGTCGAAAAGTGGAGACGTTCACAAGAAGTCCGACTTTTCTTGAAAAATCGAAAAGTCCAACTTTTCTCGAAAAGTCGAAAAGTCCAACTTTTCTCGAAAAATAACATATTGCACAATGAAAGGTGGAAAACAAACACATCAATTTTCCGCAAGAGGGTATAAATATACATATATATATATAGAGATTTAATGAAATGATTGAAATACCTAAGATGATTACTAAAACATACTCATTGAGGATGAGTGGGGTACAAAGGCTACATTTAAAAGATTATGAATGTCAATGAGCCTGTGATTATCAAGGCTAAATTTGCTGGAAGCGGCAAGAGTTATATAGGTGAATATGTTTTCAACATGAATAAGTCTGTGCTCTTTGTTATGCCTAATAACCGGCAGCTTCAAGAGAACAACCGTGAGGGTCTTGTAAATTTTTTTCCATAGCAGTAGGTGAGGATGAAGGAGGAAAACTACCTCAGTTTGATTAGTCAGGTTTTGATGTTATTGTTTTCGATGAAGTGTTTATGGTAAATATCTATATCAAAAGTAGGATAAGATCATTGTGTTTAAATAATCCTGACAAGATCAGAATACTGACAGGTGATACAAAGCAACTTTTGTGCTTTGAACAACACACCAGTTGTCAGGATGAAGAGACCTGTGCTAATCATTGTATTGATGTGATATGTCCTTACAATACTTTCTTGACAATTTGATTTGTAAGGAGGTAGGTGCTAGAGATAGTGAAAAAGGATATATGATTATGAAACTTATTATTATATAGTGACATATATGACGATTTCTGGATACACAAACTACCAACTAAGGAAATTATACCAAAATATTTGGTAATAACTGATGACATAATGGCATCAGAACATAACATAGCATACACCAACATAAGGTGTAAAACAACAGCAAATGACATAAAACAGAGGCTAAAAGTATGAAGTGGATGAGGTACTGATTGCCAGAAAGTGGGTGAAGGAACCAAGGATAAACATAAACATCATATACAGTATTACAGATTGAAGGTAGGCAACTCACTATACAAAACATATTTGATGACAAGAATGTCATTGTGTTAAGTGAGGAGTTTGTGGATGAGACATTCATTTACTCACATTGCGCTACATGTCATTCTTCGCAGGGTTCATCAATCAAAGAAACTTCAACAATACATGAATGGGATTTACCCTTTGTATCTAGAGAGTGGCGTTACACTGCTTTAACTAGGTGTGTTGATTCTAGAAATGAAAACAGTTAGCAAAGAATTTGATAAGGAAAAGAAACTCTATATGTATAAAAATACATTTTGAAAACAAGGTTGAAGGATACAAACTTCAAGATATGAAAGCAGATAGAGAAATAAATGAAGATGAACATATTGATGTTGAATGTGTATGGAAAGGTTGATTAAACAGTGACTTTACAGCACAGCGTGTTTGTAATTATCAATGCCATTCAAAGAGCAATTGTGTAGCATTCAATGAATATTGTAATTGTAGTAGCAAAACACATGATATATATAGTTTTTATATGAGCGCATCAAAGCAAAACGTTATTATAATGATACATATTTTGATACGGAAGCAAGGCAGTTACTTTGAAAGATGCTAAAACATGACAGTTCATTGAAATAGCAGATGTAGAAGAGCTTTGTTTAGCAAGAATGTTGAAGTGAAGAAGAAGCCTTGGGGCTTTAATTGCTTTGTGGCTCCGCATAATAATCATACTTATCAACTTGATATATTTTGCTTTATTCAGAAGATATTGAAGCAAAACCAAAATTTAGAGCAGGGCTGGTTATGATAGATGTTTTAAGCAAGTACGCGGTAGTAGTGCCAATAAAAAGCAAAACCCCGCCTGATGTAATGGCTGGAACAATGGAAGGTCTCAAAAAAATTAGAGCAAAACCAAAAGTCATTTATACAGATGATGAGAGAGCCATCGCAAGTGCTGAGTTCAAAGAATACATTGAAGGTGGGGCACCCTGCTTTTGCTCGGCGCTTTATCAGAAGTTTTAAAGATACACTTTTCAAGAGGGTAGATAATGATGAAAAAAAACTAAAGCAACACATCCAATGGACTGGCTATATAATTGAAATAATGATTACTTATAACAATAAAGATGTCCATTCAGCAACTGGAATGACACTAAACGAAGCAAGGAAAAAGACAATGAATTTAAATCAAATTTAAATGTATCAATGAAAGTAAAAGAAGCACAGATTGTATCCTGAATTAGAGGTAGGTGAAAAAGTAAAGATTCAAAGAAACAAAGTAATTACAGAAAAAGAACGCACTTCACACTTTCTAAAAGGTGAATACACGGCAGAGGCAATAAATCAAAACTGGGACAAACCTATTATACATTATTTGATTTCCCAAGACCATTGCTTCGCAATGAGTTGCTTAAAGTCTAAAATACATTAGTTTTAGAGAGACATATTTAAAGGGATGTCATCTTAGATAGTATCTGCAAAGAGATGGAGATGACAAATGTAGTATGTGTGATAAGGAAAAACAACTGCTGAATTCAAAAAGGAATCCAAACTTGTAATGAAGACCGTAATGAAGCAAATAAAACCAAAAAACAACACCGCAAAAACAATCCTGAAAAAGAGACACTATAGTGGAAAAAGAGACTTCAAAGAATTGGAGATGATAAAGACATTACCTGCCACATATGTCAATATGATGTGAAAAAATACAAGTTCAAATTGTCAATCAAGATGACAACTCAGTGGGACATCGAAACCTTTTACTGTAGAGATGTATGAAGCAGGTGAAGATGTAGATAAACCAGATGAAATAACAACTGGTAAATGGGGCAAGGTATGGTATGATTGTTATGCCTGTAAAGGTAGTATGCTTCAATGAGTCGAAAAGTCCCACTTTTCTCTAAAAGTCGAACAGTGAAATTTGTTTCGAAAAGTCGAAAACAAAAACTTTTTGACTTTTTGACTTTTTGCGAACAGTTTACTCGTTTTCGTGATAATTGTTTTCGCGCGAATTGCTAGCTTAGCCTTCCTACTAGTAACAAGAAGCTACTAGGGGCTCCTGGCCGTACTACTAGGAGCAAAGGACGCTGCTAAGAACAATTGCCGTCTGGTGGTTTGCAGAGCCAGGAGATGCCGGTTGAAGAGTTGGACCTGCTCTTGGAGAAGCGGAAACAAGATCGGCGGAAGGAAGGCCATCCTTTCTTTGGACGCCAGCAAAAACATGCGTGAACAAGCATAGAGGCTTTTGAACATCTATCTTCAAGCTTAATATACTATTGTGCTGTGTATTATTACTATTATTGCGTATTAGATAGATTTTATATTACAAGTGCACTTGTGATACCGGTATTGTCCGCAGGGTAAGACGTTCTCTTCACCACGTGACATGCTTCAGCAAAGTTTTGCAACGGTTGGTCAGGTTTGCAGCTCTTCGACGATTGGCTTATTCACCAGATCCAGTCCATGGCCAGAACACAGTGGAGCAAACGTATGCAAAGGTCATGATTTTGGTTATGAGATTTTGCAACACGAAAAGCACTTAAATGAAGAGACGGGGGCCCACAGGTGTATTCTATCCATTTCTCATTTCCTTTGACCGCCTGTGGTGGCTTCCAGTTGATTCTTCAACTTGAGCCAGATTCAAGTTGCAGTTGTTCGAAAGGTTTTCGTCCAGCATCACAATCGAATATCCTCAATGTTTTGGGGTTTAGTTTGCCTGAGGACATGCGATTTTCCAGTGGAGGTGGTGCTGGAAAGCCCAGTGCCTGCGGAAGAAGTGGAGATTGAATTGCAGGCCGTGCAACAACGTTTTCCTCTGTGAACATGATCAAAAGAGGCAATCTAGGTCAAGGTAAATTCTGGTTGAATTATAATATTATATAGTTGAATCTGCACCAAGTGTGGTTATGCCCTTGAGAATCGCCAGTCTGCTTGCAGTAGCTGATCCTTAATCAGTACGGGCTTCAACAAGCTTGCTACAGGTGTATGGAATCAAGGCGCAGACACATCCACTATTATCCACGGATTTGCTGTTCTTAAAGACTTTCACTGAAGCTGCCTCGTCATGCTACACATATGCTGGTGCGATCTAGAGCATTCTGAATTGTAGCCCTTGAAGCCTTGACCACCTCTTCAGTGAGACCAGACTTCGTGACACCTTTTTCCTTTGCTTCGGCAGCCACCATCAATCCAAGAACCATGGAAGTGGCCCCCCCCCCGTGAAGGAAAGTTGCCATTTTCCACTTCTATGAGGGACGGTTCAATCAGTTGCCAAGCGATTTGAGTCAGGATGTTGCTCCAGCGCCTCCTGCTCACAGTTCTTTACGTGGCATTGAGCTGGACTCCGACTCGGACCGGGGCATCCGACTCCGACTCGTCGCGGGCGGATGCACTGTGCTCACCCAAACAATTCTGAACGGAATTGGCAAGACCTCCCTGCTTGTAGTGCCATAAAACCGATGACCATGCTGTTCTTCGTTTTCAGCATTGGGGACGAAGCAAAGCTTGAGAGGACAGTGATGATGAAAATGACGGAGGGCTTCTTGGTTGCACGTCAACTCGAAAGGAGTATGCTGCATAGGGTCAAGTGTATCGTTCTGTTTGCTCCGCATAACTCCCAACCGGTTTTTTCCGTCCCCAAGCCGCCATGCAGAACTGACTCCTTCATCGACTACCTACGGCGGCGGCTGTCAACGGCGCTCCCTGCCGAACGGTTGCATTGTGCAGACCCTCGTGAGCTTGGAGAGGCGCCAATGCTCAGCGTTTCGAGATCGATCTTGGCGATGCACCGCCTGCTCCACACGGGTCCACACGATACAGTCACGAAACACAACACACACACACACATTTTCAGCTATTTATAGCCATTTCTTGAAGCGCCATGCTAGATCCCTCTTTCACGATGTCTTAGCGGCTCCGCACGCAGGGCAGTGAAGAGTTGTCCCTTCGCGATGCTTTCCAGCGGCTGTTGAGCCAACCTCGACCCAAAGATATGGAAGAGGCAGGCCGTTTGGACGATTACCTCTTGCCCAGTCATGCGGCTGTTGCCGACATCAGTGGTCGGTTGTGCTGGAATGACGCCCCTATGCACATCCTTACCCAAATGGAATTGCGACTAGAGAGGCTCTCTTTGTTGGTATTTGCAGGTGTTCTTTTCATTTTCTCTGATGAGGTTGCTCATGCCCCACCAACATTTTTGATGACCTTCAAGGACACAGAACATGCAACAACCGCAACAACAAAACGATCCCTAAATCCGTCCTGTCCGGGGCACTCGACTCCATGCTGCAGAAATGTCCAAAGATCAAAGCACAGAACATGCGTAGACACCAAGTTTGGGCTTTCAGCAAATCAAGAAATTAGCGACATCATGTGACATCAACATCTTCGAAGAACACCGAGTGCTCAAAAATGCAGCACATCGAAGGTTTCGCAAGGAATAAATAAACAAAAGGCTGCTTTGTTCCTGCCTTCTTTCGTGGTGTGCACTGTTGGAAGAGTTACTTTTGCTTTTTTTTGCTTTTGCTGGAGCACTGATCGAAAATCATTCTTGTCCCTCACGCGCATGATCTCCCTGTGGCACGTCACACGGGACTTGTCAGAGATCCGAGTGGCCACGGATTTGCAAGACTTCGCTGTCTCGGCCTGCCAAGGCAAAGACTCAGCTAACACACGGCTAGCGATGCCCTTGTTACTAGTAGCGATGCCCTTGTTACTAGTAGCTTCTAAAGGCTGCAAGCTTTTTTGGGTCCTCACGGATCTCATTTGCGATTATACAAGAGCGCAGAGGCTACTTGCTGCAAGCAACACACTCTGATCGCAGATATTTCGGCTCTAAAAATCCAAGCTGGGATGCCATTCATGAGGCTCCATGATTCACCACACATGCCACTACTTTTGTTTTCCCACCATGTGTTATGCGAAGTAGTAAATAGCGTTGCTTGCATCCCTAGCTTAGCCACTGACACTCTTTTTCACTTGGTGCCCCACACTCCAATTTTGTCATTTGGGCCCGTAGTTTGCCATGCCAAAGCCGCGGCGAAAGAACCGGCGGCCGGCAGCCAAAGGCAAGAAGAAGCCCCAAAAGCCAGCTCGTCCTGCTCGGAGTGTGTCAAGAAGCTACAGCTACTCAAGAAGCCGGAGCTACAGTGATAGTGAAGGGTCTTCAGATGGACATTCTGATGAAGATGATCCCAGAGACTACAAGCGTGGAGGTTACCATCCTGTCACACCATATCAACTGTACAATGCACGGTACAGAGTGCTCTCCAAGCTGGGTGCGGGTGCTTTCTCAACGGTTTGGCTTTGTGCCGACGAGAAGCAAGCGGATGGCCAGCTTGTTGCCATGAAGGTTTGCAAATCCAAAAAGTCTGTGACTGAACAGGCTCAGGATGAAGTCATGCTTTTCGAACAGATGAGACCTGGTGGTGCTTCGGGGTCGCCCTTTGTCGTCAAGATGACCGATCACTTCTGGCACACGGGGCCCAATGGTCGGCACAAGTGCATGACTTTCGAGGTCATGGGGGAGAATCTCCTTGCCTTGGTGAAACATTACAACTATGATGGCCTTCCACTCGACTTGTGCCGGCGACTCTCCAGGCACACCTTGAAGGGCTTAGAATACATCCATTCCTGTGGTGTGATTCATACAGATGTGAAGCTAGAAAATGTGTTGATTTGCCGCCACGACATGACAGCATTGATCCAAGAGGCTCGGCAAGCGCACATGGCATTTTCCTCACAAAAGACGAGCCTAGAGTCGCTGTCGAAGAGCCAAAAGAAGCGGCTCAAAAAGAAAAACAAAAAAGAGGCCCAACACAGTGCTACAGCACCTGCTGAACTCAAAGAGGTGTCAGATGGCGAGAAGCTCGACAACGACATTGTGGAAGCTCCTGAAGCTGTCCAAGTGCTTCATGTCAATGGGAAGGGACTTGGCGGAGGCTATGGTCCAACCAATGGCGAGACCACGGCGGCCGCCCCGGACGAAGCCCCGGTGACTGAAATCCCACGGCCGATTCCTCCAGTGCGGCAGCGGGAGCGCTTTGACAGCTTAACGACGGAGCAGACCTTTGCCAAGTTGGCAGACTTTGGGAATGGCATCAAGTCTGGTCATGTCGTGACCAATGACATACAGACCAGGCAGTACCGTTCACCTGAGGTCATCATTGGTTCAGCATGGGATGAAACAGCAGACGTTTGGAGCGCAGCTTGCATGTTCTTCGAACTGGTCACTGGAGATTTCCTCTTTGATCCCAAAACGGGGAAAGATTGGGATCGCGATGAGGATCACTTGGCACTCATTGCTGAATTGTTGGGCGACTTGCCTGACAAAGAGTATTGCTTGTCTGGGAAGTACTCCAAGGATTTCTTCAACAACTCCGGCAAGCTGAAGCACATCAAGACCATGAAGATGTGGCCTCTCATAGGCGTTCTCAAAGAGAAATATGATAAGTCTGCGGAGGAGGCCAACGAGATGGCCGAGTTTCTCTTGCCAATGCTCACCTGGGAGCCCACCAAGCGGCAATCGGCTTCGGAGGCTTTGAAGCATGCATGGGTGCAGCTTAGAGAGGGTGAGATGGATGAAGTTGATGAATCTGTGGTGAAACCGGATGCTTTGAGAAGCTTCGAGGACTCGGAGGTTAAGGAGCCTCCAAGCACAGAAACCGAGGCCCAAACAGCTCCAGAGACTCCAGAGGAGGTTTGATGCGCAGTCGGTTCTCGGGAAAAATCTGATGGAAGGTGCCGCTATTGACAGGCAGTATGGATAAGCCCCAAAGCGAGACCTCCACGTTGTTTACATAGAACTAGGGAATACTGTATACTGTGCCACAAGTTGCGTTCATGTGTGACTTTGTTTACTCTATGACTATGGCATTCTTGTACTGTGCTATGGTTGCAGCTGCATGATCTTGCACGTTGAGCAGGTAGGGAGCCTCCAGTTTCACCCTGCAGGTGGAGCTGGACAGTCTTGGGGCCTCGTACCCGGACGATGAAGAGCCAGAAGATGGACAGTGCGGCTTGGACCTGCAAAGAGCTCAAACGAACCAGGGATGATGAGATGGCATCATGTGACATCAGAGATCATCAGAGTCTAGAAAGCTTACATGTGACATCACGGATGACTTGATGACTTGTTCTCACTCGATTCGACGCGGGTCGAATTCCCACTCCAATTCTGCACTCTCCTTCTAGGCGATGAGACGAGTAGACTGCTTCCGGCAGTGCCATCCTTCGAAGCCTTCTTTGGAGCTGCATCAGATGTGCTCTACTATCATCCCGAGGTCAAGACGGGTGTACCCGAAGGTTGTGATTGACCGCTAGAACATACCGTTCTTGCTTGTTCTTGCTCTCCTTTATATACTGCTTCAACTGGACTCGCATTCAATGTTTTTGCAGGTAGAAGGTTGTCATTTTAAAAAGCTGGTCTGAAAGAAACTGTCCTGTGGACAGGTGAAGATGGACTATGCGCCCTTCTTGCACAAATGTGTCGGGTCTGCAGAGGCGGGGATTCCACTTGAAGACCAATGACAGTGGGCCATGGCACCGGGAGACCAACCGGTTGACCTAGCTGTCGGTCGTTCACTACATGGTGGACAGGTCGGGCTCCAGGTTGATAGACCCCTGCTGAAATGAAACACCCCAATTCCATCCTATTCGGGATTCTTGGGGATGAAATGGTCACATCGGTCACCGGGTCGGTTGAAGGATTCATCGTCATCTGTCGGCCGGATGCAGAGGCCTTGGAGCAATTCTTCGATCGCCTCTTCTTTGGCACGGTACCCGAAGCATTGGCGGAGCTGACCTTGACCGAGGAAACCAGGCTTGGCCAGTGGATGGCTAGGGTAGGGGTTTGAGCCATATAGGACGGTCCTTGCATGTTCCATGGAGTCAAAATCTGAGTTGGCGATGACTTTAAGACAGACCAGTTGGCCCATGAGTAATTATGCAAAAACGTGCAAGCTATTTCAAGCTTCAATCTTTTCAGGACTTCCCTTTGTCCCAGGCCCTTCACGCGTATTCGCTCACTGATCTACGAGAGAAAGGGACTCGTCCAGCGGCGGCCAAAGGAGCGGCCCCCGATCCCTGTGAAGGTGCCAACCTGACGTGTTACTAGTAGCGTCCTTGCTCCTAGTAGCGATGCCAGGAGCCCCTAGCAGCTTCTTGTTACTAGTAGCGATGGCCTCCAACCTAATAGTGATGGCCTCCAACCTAGTAGCTTCTTGTTACTAGTAGGCTCATTTCCCGGGTCGCCATCATCGTGTGTGGCATCGAACACATGGGGGATTCCCCTGATTGCTTACCAACCTTAAATGATCAGATATACTTATTACTTATTACATTTTATTCTTATTACATCCCATTACCCAAATAACCGACAGTATGTGATGTCAAGTTACATAGAATATGTATGAATATGACGTCAAGAGTCTATTTCGCTTGCAATTCATCAGTGGCCCTTAGCGCCAATGGGACTGTAGACACACGGCTGACTGTAGGGTTTTGGCTCATGGCTTCACCGGAATGATGTCATCCAGTCCATCTCGAGGGAAGCAAAAATGCAGGTAGATATGGATCAACTCAGGTTGATGTGAAGAATCAGCAACTTGCAGTGGCTTGTAAAGAGCCAAAACAAGACATCAGTCATTTTTTGACCCACTTTGGCGCGGTCTTTCCGACACCATGGCAGAATACCATGCTGTGGTGATTCACGAGACCTGGCGAAGCTTCTGAGAAGCGCTGCAGAGAGCTCGCTTTCTTCGTTTGGTGACAAGGGCATGACTACTAGTAGCAAGAAGCTACTAGTAGCTTCTTGCTACTAGTAGTAATGGCCCCCACCCTAGTAGCGATGGCCTCCAACCTAATAGCTTCTTGCTACTAGTAGCAAGCTAAGGAATGGACCGACTTCTCTGTGAAATTGGGCGGCTCTGAAGTTCACATTATCCATGCCTCTTTTCAGGAGCAGTTGATGATTACATTTGATAGACTCAGTTTCCCTCTATTGAACCAGAAAGGTGGACCAGAGAAGCAGAGTTCGCAGAGGAACCGGAATGGGTCAACCCTCAAGCTTTCTGTCGCGCCCAAAATTCTCCAGGCCCTCGAGGATCCCAAGAAAAGAGTTGATGTGGCTGGAAGGTTCCAGGATGATCTGCATAAGAAGCTCGTTTGCAGATCGCACAATTGAGGCATTGTAGTATTACTGTACGCGTTTTGCGACAGCGGCCGGTGCTTCTTTTTTTTCTGCGCTTTTGTCATCCACGACAAGATCAGCCACGCAGCCTCCCCCAACGTTGAAGCTGCATACTGTAGTAAGTCTTGTAGGGTCGCTGTAAGTCATATTTATATAAGCATTTTCGTAAGCTTTATGGGACAAACCGCTGCGCACGTTCAAGACAGCTGGTCAGCGGTGCAGCTGAGGAGGGGCTTTGTGTGGCTGAGCACCCACAGCTTGCCAGATCCTGCTCGTGGCAAATGGAAGAGGCTTCTGGTGATTTACCGTGGTGACAATGAGTACAAGTGCCTGGGCTGCCTTGACTCATCCAGAAACGAGTGGCGCGAGAATGTGCAAGAACAAGAGCACCATATGATGCACAAATCGACAGGCAAGGCTTTTGAACTAGCCAGTGAACATCATATGAACATTGCAAATTGCAGTCTGAAATCTTCCGCTTGATAAAACCCGTGGCAAAATCAGTTCTTTGGTTGACCGGTTGGAACGTGTTGCAGAAAGGTAAATGATTGCAAAGGCAGATCCTCGAAGATGATCTGATTGCTGTGGGCCAATACTGGTTATATACGGTCTTGCAGCTTTCATCCACGGCCCTGCCATACAACATGTCAATCACCTCTCCTCGCTGTCAGAGTCGGATTGATGCGACCTGGCCTAAGGACATCTTCCGCGTTTTGGGGTGCTACAAGCGCAGCGCTGATGAACCTTACCGCAGTGGCCACACCCTCAGTGGCTGCGCTGGCATTGGGATCAGCCACTTGACAAAAGTGCCTCTCTCTACTCGTGTGAGTGCCAATGTGTCCTCTAGTACTTTGTTGATTGACCTCATCTTGTAATGATTATAAATCATTGTATTTTCAATTACCCTATTGGTCAAGTTGTGACAGGACTTGTAAGTCACAACTCCACACGACACGTCCGGTGAGGCAATTCTTGACATGCCAGTGGTGGAAGCCTGGCAGTACTTCACCGGAATCGTGAAAGGTTGGTTCCAGGGAAGGTGGTATCGAGGGCTACCCCGGAATGCCGAAGGTCTTGTAGTTTGGAATGTGACCGGTATCCTCGGGAACTGTTTTGCTTTTAAAGAGAACATGTGAAATAGATTGTTTACGCTTACTTGCAGCGCAAGCTTGGATCTAACATGATCTATACAACTCAACTACCACCAGTCTGCGACCGTCAATTCTCACCTTCTTTTCGATTGGAGGGAGGAAGTTTGACAGGGCTGACGCACACAAATCTCTCAGTTGTAGGGGAAAGATGTAGGAGTATTGAGACTGTAACAAGAACAGCTTTTGTCCTGGCAGTGCGCCGTGGAAAGGATGTAGTATTGAACACAGGACGACCTTTTGAGAGGACAATGCCCAATGCATACTGCAAAAACAATTTGCATGTTGTACCCCCAGATGATACAGAAACCAACCAGTACGCAACTATAAAAAAAGACTACGGAGATGGAAAGCATGGCGGTCACTGTCAAGCATGCAGTTCTTACTTTGTGTCATGACTCCCTCAACCCTCTCTCAAAACTCTTGACAAAGAATTCGGAGTGGTGGTTTTGTGGGTCGAACGAGATTGAGGCCGGTATGATGAGTGGTCAACTAGAGTCAGGTTCTGTGAAATGGATAGAGAAAATGGAGTGAAGGAATTCAACCAGGCGCGCACACACACACACACCATCACACACCCAAGAATGGACCCTCGCCCTCTTGGACAATTTTGGGGGTGTAAGGTGCCTAAAAGAAGTGCTGTGTTTTTTCTTGTTTTTCCCTGACGCATGTTCTGCATGTTTAGACAAGACCTGCATGGAGACGGAACACTATTTATTATGTAAATTATTTTTTTATTGCAACGATATGACATCATGTTTGGAATTGTTTGGAGTGCTGCAGCACGACCACGCACCAAGGACCTTTTGAAAATCCCAGCACTGGTCGTGCCACTGCTGTCCATGAGTGTGACCGCATATAAATGGAGTCGCGACTCGAGTTGCGACTCGAGTGTGCCCCTTTTCCTGGACAACGAGTGTGTGATCTGCCTTTGCGACCTTGGAGTTTCAAATGCTGAGATTCTCCCTTGTGGACATGCTCCTTGGCCAGTGTCTTCGGATATGAACCGAACACTCTCCCAATTGGTGGGGAAGAGGGAAGACGAATTTGCTCTATCGCTTGGATGCTATGAGAGTTTCGATTGTTGATTTGGAAGATTACTTGAGGTTGTCAGAACTTATCCTTTTGGATTCGAGCATATGTGTACTTTTTCTTGCCGGCATACCTTCAGCATGCCTCCCCCCTGGTCAGTACGTGCCTATACTGCAGCTATCCTGAGGCTTTTCACTACACTTGCATCCAAAGCTGGCTTGCGCTTGGGGGCAGTTGTGCTATATGCCGCCAGGACCGCCATATGTCAGCCTCAAAGATCCAGGCATGCCATGGTGGGTGCAGAGTTCATTCCAAGTAGTCAAAGCTCAGAACACTTCAGTTGTAGAAACATTGCCCCTGGGCCTTTCGCGTCACAGCTTGCTGCTGGTTTGGCTGCATTTAACTCGTGACTTGCGCACAGAGCAGATCTCACATTCGGATTTTGGCAACATCTTGAGGTCGTTTTTCAAGGCTGCATCACACCGATTTGTGGTCCCCTCCAAGGACTGTCCCCTCCGCACGGTTTCAAAAAGTGTTGGGTCGGACCCTCCGACGGGACTGTCCCCGCCGAAAGGACTGGCCCCTTCTTGGAACAGACACCAAAAGAAAAGCAACACAGGCAACACACGTAATTCGGCAAATGTTGGATTAGCCAAGTATTCCGCAGCCAAGCGACGAGCTAGCCAAATCGTGAGAGCCCCAGAGGTGGTGAGTGAGCTAAGTAGCGAGATCTGGCTGATGGCTGATCTCTGATGCAGCAGCCTCATGAGAGAATGAGCACGTGCAGCCCCCAAAGAAACTATATACATATATGTGTCTAGTGCTTGAACCGCTTGAGACAGTGCAAAGCAGCTTGACACTGGTTCAAATTGAACTTTGGCAAACAGCGCACTGATCGATGTGCACAAGCTGGAAACCTGGGTTTCCGTTTGAAGAATCAGTACAGTAGTAGCCTCCACCAGCGAAGCCAGTTGCGAAGCTCTAGATCCGGTGAGGCCCCCCACCTGCTGCAATGCTTCAGAACTCAGAATGCTTTGTTTTCGTCCCACACACACACACACACAACAGGTCACTTCACAGAAGAATTCCTTGGAACGCAGGACTTGATGCGCCAACTTCCTGACTCATGTCTGTCTCACGTGCATGTCACTAACGTGCTATTCACTTGTTCTGGTTTTCGAACACTTTTTAAACTCACATCGATGTCAGAATCGATGTCAGTGTCAAGTCATTCCGATCGCACTCACAGTCGTATGGTTTCTTCAGGAGCCATGTTGTGATTCATGGATCAGAGAGGCGGACAGCGCTCTGACTGGGCTGTTCTCGCATGAGTTCGGCCACTTGGCATGTCCAACCCGTGAACGATTCGTGAAGTATTTCACCGGTTTCCCTCTCTTGACCCGCAGAACACCCGCACCAAAGACCAGTTTGATGGCACAATTTTGACAAAGGCCTGCTTTTTAAAGTAAATATGTTTCAAACATGTATCTTCATGTAGCTTCTTGCATGAGTAAAGACACCTACTTACTTGAAGCCTTTCTCAAGCAGCAGAGGTACGTCACGTGGCTATGAGACATGACTCAATGTTTGTGGGTCTAGTTCATGGAATGTGGTTCGTTGATGCCTTCCTGGTTGGCGCTGCCACCTGAGTTTACTGCCTGCTTGTCCAGACGTCGTGTAAAGCTATCTTTTTGCAGATGAGTTTGGTGCCACTCGCACTGATGCGAAGCCTGAGAATTCACAGCAATAATTTTGGCTTGTCCGGTTGCCGTTCGTCGTCAGCTGCAATTCTGAGTAACCAGCACTCGATGAACTCTAACAGAAAGATGTACACTGGTGCAGGTCAACTGGTTCGAGCAATAAACCCTTGTTCTTTCAGCACCATGTCACCGCGTGCTGGCTGATACAGTTGTGCTCACGAAGGATTCGGCAGGGCAAGGATTTCATTTCCGTGTGTCATGTGTGGTTAGCATGCCACTGCCAGGACCAAGAAACAAGAAATTCCACACAAGCGGACTTTGATGAGTTTTGCCAATTGACGAGGGGATTCTCTTTGGCAACGTCGTCGTTGTCACCACCTTGGTCTTGGGGTGTTGCAGGGCAACCCAAAGATTCATGAATCTCAGCGTCCAGCATCTAGCTCCGCCCGAATGAGACACTTAGTCACTTAGTGTTTGTTGTGAAGTGTTGTTTTTGTTTCCATTGTTTCCATTTTCCATCAATCATTTAGAGGTTCGAAGAACTAGGCCTGTGTGCGTAGATGTGGTCGAAGGATCTTTGGAAGGAGAGGACAAATGGACTTGGTCCACAGACTAAACTACTGCATGCATTTTATGATGAGCACTCTGCCCATTGATACTGCCCATTGATACTCGTTCCTCTAACTCGACTCTAGCTCAGTGTACAGTTTTGACCTGAACAGAGAATTGATGCTGCCTTTGTCGAAGACTGAAACCCGCATGTATTGTTCCGAAAAGCTGGGATACAGGTTCAGAATCTGAATTCGGCTGCATGTGGGCTGTCCAAGGGGGTTGGGTTTCTGGCCAAAGGAAAACAGTCTTTCTGTCAGCATTGAGCATAGTTTCTTCACCTGAGCGCTCACCTGTTGTTGGCCAGCGATCCAGGAACAGGCTTCCCCCCTCCGGACCATTTCGCTGTGAGAGGAGAGAAACAGACATTGTGTTGAGGACTAGCGCCTCATGTTTCCTATGCCTCCTAGCTCCAGTTGCCAGTCTTTTTCTTTGCGGTCTGGAAAGAATATTGAATAGATCAGCATCCATGGTGGAATTGCCAACAATCATTGATTGAAGGTGCTGCCTATGGACTGCTTCCTGGTTGCCTCCAAGCGGGAGGCTCAACGAGGTAAAGGTGTAATGTGAATGTGTCTAGAAGACAGTCTTGCTTGGTTGAACCGATCAGCAGTGGTACGGTGGATCTTGCAGCTGCATTTGCATTCCTGTTGTCTTCAGCATGCCAACAGTGGAACCAGCAGCATGAAACTGGCTGAAGGCTACCTTCAGGGTACCTTCAGGCAACTGAAGTTCACAGATCTTCAATCCGGAAGAAAAGGGACAGGCAAGACACACTTGTGATTATGCGTACTGACTTGACAGCGGTGCCACACGCCGGCCTAGGTAACCATTTCCTAAGAGTACAGGTAAAGCCCAACGGAGGCTGGTGGTCTTCAAACGAAGGTGAGGCCCAAAGCGCAAGCACCAAATCGACGAGTTCGGATCGACAAGATGACGGCGTTCGTGCACATCTGCAGAACTCACTAGCACTTTACCGGAAAGTAGGGTAAAAGCTGGTAAACGCCACAACCAAGCAGGTACGTCCAGAAGGCGTCCCTTCCGGATATCAGCCACATTGCAGCCCTCTTCGTTGGGCAATCAACTGCAATGTGGGATTGCCCCCCTGCTTACGAATCAAAACTCAAAGCAAACACTCCAAAAGGAGCCTTGTGACTCCAAAGGTTACACACACACACACACACGCCTCCCGAGGGGAGGCGAAAACTAAGGTTA